ACCTGTTTCGGAATTGCAAACAATGGGGAAAAAGAACACACCTCAGATAACAGGGATAATTAATATTGTTTTCAGGAAAATACCAGTTCAAGTGCTTAAGTAAGTGGTTAAGGGCTGTGTTTTTAAATCACTTTCTGCTGAAGTGCAATTTGAGCAGGGTGTTGTGGAGCTGTGCGCGTCCTGGCCCTGACAATATGATATGGCATATTGCCACACAAGAGTCAGCTTTTAATGATACAGCAGAAAGATGAACAGTCAAACACTCCAAGAGTCAGTTTACCTGTACAGTCAGGGCAGGATTCTGCCAAGCAGAACGTCTGGCACTGTGTACGGATCTTGAAAAACTTTTATAAATATGGCAGGCTTCTATTACTATGAGATAATCATGTCTGTGTATTATTTATGTTAATAATTAACAAATTGTGTCATTATGTGTGTATTAATCTCAGCTAAATATCAGACATTGCTACTGTAGTCGTCAAATCAGGGTTTTGTGGATTTACAGAAGGTCTGAGTCCTCAGGGTGTTGAGGAGTGTTTAGTGCATTCTGGTGCCTCTACTTGAGCACTCTTAGACTCAAAGGATATATGAAAAGAAGATTACTTTAGCTACAACACAATGCATTGTGCTGCATTTAGTAAAAGAAATCAAGTACTCTATATAATTACAGAAGTACAAATTCTCGTACTTAATGTGATCATGAAGGATCTGTAGCCTATAGAATTATTTAGTCAAACAGAAGGATCCATCATCAGCCAGGAGGATATTTCAGTGCTGCTCTGCATTCTTGACGTAGAAGGCATTGTACTATGATGAAGAGATTCTAAACAGAATTCGGCTCCCTCTCCAGGTATTGCACATGCAGGAATGCGTCGCCTCCTAATTGAACTGCATATGCAATATGATCCAATGGGAAATTTCTTTGAAATAATAATTTAAAAATATTCGCGTAACACAGGACAATAACTGGAAATATCGAGACAATGCAAGACCAATAGCTAATGTACACAATGAGCATTTAACTCAGGTGCTCACTAATGAAGAAGCCAACAACGTGCCAGTGGAAAGACAAGGTTGCCTATTAAATTGTTATTAGTGTAGAACAAGAGGAAGTGTTTCAGATATTAGAAGCACTCGAGATCAATATATCCCCAGGGCCTGATGGTGTCGTACTCAAGGAAACGAAAGAAAGGTCAGTCAAAAACAGAAATAAAAAATCATCAGTCTGAAACTTAATGAGATTTTGTACACTTGCAGGCAACCGTGTCAGTGAAACCAACACAAAAAAAAAACTTGTTTCGTTGGCAAACGCCTTCTGTGTTTTGTCACACCTATATCATCTGCACCAAGCATCTCTTGACCAACATCTTTATCCTAAAATTACTGTCTGCATGTTATGAAGAAATTCTGTATTGGAGGAAAACCATGGTCTGGGTCTAATGCACGTGTGTTTGCTCTGAGGTAAAGTAGTGATTTTCGCGACTCCAGAGCTCACACGAGAAAAGATTACTACGGGTTTAAAACACCATCAGATGTTCTTTGTGGCTCTGGCAATGTGTCGTGCAACCGATTCGTTCAAAAAGCCTGTGGCGAGTGCTGGCACCTGGTGGAACACCAGGAAGATCTTTAATACAAATATCACACACAGGGGGTACAATTGCATGCCCCCTGAATAAGGAGAATGGATTCTACTGCCCCCAGTCTTGGGTGCTTTCTCAGTGCCCGTGTGACAGACGGAGCCGGGCCGGCAGGGATGTGGACACATTAATAGCTCACGATGAAGACACTATATCGCGCAGGAGGCTTTCTTTCAGCGGTCCTGCAGGTCTTTATAGCCAAAGACCCCGAAGTTCTCACAGTGCGTGCATGTGTGTGGTCTGTGACGCCCAGGTGTCCCAATCAGAGGTGTCTCGCTGTGTGCCCCTCGCTTGCTCGACCCTGTATCGGATGCAGCAGTTAGAAGCTGGACAGATGGCCAAACGACCATGTGAGAGAGCGTTCAATGAATCACCCGCAGTGATCTAATCATCAGTTTCCCTTCAGGATCAATAAAGTCTTATTTATCACTAAGTGTGCGTCTCTTGTCAAACGGCAGAGGCCTTGGGGGTCTCTAGTGGCGGTGACAGCTCTGACTGTCCCCTTGCAGACTAGCCTATCTCAGGGAAATGCCTGTAGGACAGCCCCCCCCTCACACGCACCCCCAACCTCAGGGGAACAGCCTTTACCTTCCGCAAGTGTAATCTTGGGGAAACGCACATCACGCCTTCCCCATTTCAGCAGGATTCACGGCCCCGTCTCTGGGGACTGCCTATCACACACCGTCAGTCTCGGGGGAACGGCTTGAATGTGCTCGCTATCTCACGGGAATACGTTTGACCCACCTCCTATCTTGGGGAAGCCCCTCGAACATTTATACCCTGCTATGGCAGGAGCGCCTCAGGCGAGCTTGTAATGCACCCCTTATCTCATGGGGCTAACTTTCGTGCAACCCCTATCGCAACAGGAAGACTAATGTGCGCTCCCCATCTCAGGAGGATCACTTTTACATCCTCCCCATCTACCGGGACGCGTGTCCTTGTTTGTGAGCTCCGCTACCGAAGCCAGAGCTTCATGCCCTTTTAACACCAGCTCTCCATGGCAGGCGTACTCAAAACCAGCTGCAAGAGTGAGACACCCACCACCTGCCGCTGGCTTGTACCGATACCTGCTGCCCACAGGCCGCAAAGGGGCCTCGCAGCAAGAACAGGACCCTGCAGGGGTACGAGCGAAGCTGGGACCCATGCGGGGCGACTGTACCTGTTTGCAGGGGGGATGTGGTGCAAGCTGCCGCCGCCGTCGTGGTCTGGCCTCTCAGAAATGACACACGGCCGCCGGCGCTGGCGTCTGCCCGCATGTCCCATCTGTCACCCCCCCACCCCCCAGCAGCTGCTCCGGAACGGGCCTAATGCTGCTCCAGGTCAGGCAGCCACCCCACCGCGGCGAGCGCCGCGACACGGGACCCCCCCGGAGCGACTCGGCAGTGCTCAGACGGAGCCGGGCCAGACACACCGCAGACCGGAATTAAACCGGTTAAAATCCGGACGGGCCCCGTCGGGCCCAACAGCTAAACAACATCCGATGTCTAAACCTAGCCTGCTGCCAGACGACCCCGGCAGGGATTTCCTCTGGAAGACGTGGAAGTAACAGACCCCAGAGCAGGACCTTCCCCCTCTCGAGTTTAGCAACACAGGGTGCTGACCCACTCGGACAGCTGTACCCTGAAATCTACAGTTCATTCTGTCGGATTACTGAAATCTGGTACGAATAAACATGGGACGATAGCTACGCCAAAGGAGCCGGAGGGCAATGACATAACAGCGCCAGGGGTGTGTGCAAAATGTTTCAGCAGTGTCCTCTGCTTCTGTTGGCCATAGGAATGTTTTCCCCATGGATGCGTATTGCAAGCTTACCGAATTTTTAAAGCATCGCGTGCTTTTGATTACTTCTGCAACACTCGGAATCGCGAATCGGTTCTTTTACTACCCAGCCCCGGGCCGGATCAGTCAATCGAAGAGACGTGGATTTAGGCCTGCGACGCCCGTATGCACAAGGGGAAGTTGAAGACCTGCGGACATCCTCCTCGGGCTCTCCCGCTTGTTAGAGGCACCCGTTGGCGGCGTGGCACCGGCAGGATCCCGAGGGGACACCGGCGAGATCCTGCCCGCGAGCAGCGCCCCCGTGTGTCTGCGGTGCTCGGCAACGCAGTCCTTGACCACATGGTCAGAACTGAGATGCCAAGAAGCTGAAATGTGCCCACTCAACAGGGAAAAGAGGGATGTGCACTGCAATACCTTCAGCACTAGTACAGAGGATGGGGTCCACAGAAAGCACCACTGTGGGAACCACCTCTAGCAGAGACAATTAAACCCCGGGCTCAGGGGGGATGTGTCCCCAGGAGCGATATTTCTTACCCATGAGCAACAGATGGGGGCTTCACTGGAGTATCAGTAATGGCGTTACTGGTATTTTACCACCGAACATAATTAAAACCCAGCTGAATACGTAAGAGAACGTGTTTTTAAACACGGATATGTAAAGTTCGGCTGCGCACCGGCACGTTCAGTCAGGCAGGCCGATCACCAGACTCCGCCATCACTCCTCCTGCCCGGGACGGGCTGGGCTCTGGCTCCAGGCCTCTTTTCAATGAGCGATGACGAACGGCTCTGGCCGTACAGCATCATGCCGCACTCTCCCGTTGACCGAGAGCCCGCGTGTGCATTTTCACTGCATATTGCCTCGAACACAAACAGCAGCAGGAGCACCGCTGCAGCCTGCGCTGACTGTGCTCTAGTGCTCCCACCTGGCCTGGACGTGCATCACAGCCATTTGGTTGCACAGAGGTGTATTTGGAGTAACGGAGGCCAGTTTGAAGAGCAGTATAGTGAATCAACATTAGCAGACGCTGCACTAAGCAAGGTACTGCTGTATATATTCGCTGGGAGAGGCTATGATTCACTACCATGTCTGCTTAGCTTTGTCAACTTGTTCCCCCTCAAACGAATTTCCAAAGCCTCCGTCCCTCAAACTGCCGTTTATGGTATTCAAACATGAGCAGAGCCTTACCTGATCTTTTAAAAATTTGTTCCAATTTTCAGTATAGCAGACTTGTCATCTCTCTGGGGACTTCACATAAATGCATCCGACTGACTTCAGCAGTTTCTTTTCTAGTGGATAGTGGAACTTGCTCACAGCCAGTTGTCTCAAACCCTGGCCTACTCATACAACTTCAGCAGGAAGCATGGCAGCAGTTCAATCTCCTAGACAAGCCCACTGACACGGCTCCTCGTCTCTCTGATACTCTGCTAGATCCACAGCTCCTCGCAGGAGTCGGCGCCGACTGGAGGGCTGGCGCAACTCCCACTGACGTCGGCCAGTTTAAACGCCAAAGCAGCAAAGGTTAAAATGCGACAAGTACCTCCAAAATGAAAGTGAACACGCAAGGATTGAGACGGGGCAGCATGTTTCATTTTAATTTTTTTATTACAAAACATAAAAATGACAGTTTGTCTGCCCAAGGGCTTTAAACAGTAAAACGAAAAAAGGTCTCTAGACACACAAGGAAGCACGATGTTCACGCCAGGAACCATGTACAGAAACGTCCCATCTCTCCGGCCCAAGCTGACCACAGATTGATCACGGATGCCTTTAAGTGAAATGTCCTATAACTGATTTCATTCTCACGTTCAGGATGCTTGTCACAACAGCCTGTGCTAATGCAGGTTACAATGGGGCGCAAAACATTTGACAGTACAAGCTGAGAAATGCAGAGCACGATTCGGTAATATTGTCGCCACGACACGTAACACATTCACCAGGGGGCCTGATCATTCTCATTAATGACAAGAACTTCAAAGATGGCAGGCAAAGAAAGTCTTCTAACGGGCTCCTCCACAGGGTGCTTCACATAGCCTATGCACTGGACCTCTGCAGGTAAATGGTTCAAGCTTCGTTTGACTTGTGTGTGGGATCTCCACACTGGGGCCTGGGACTGGACCAGAGAAACCAGACTCAATGGGTTTAGACCTGAAGTGGCTGACAGAACCTTCTGTGAAACTCCAAACTATGGTCTAGCAAGTAGGCTGTTGGCTGAACCAGAGACAAACAGACTGCAGTATATACACACTTGACTTACTTCCAAGGCCCCCAATCCCACCCCCTGTCTATTTCTGCTAGAAAACGATTCTGGTTTTACTTCTCGCCCAAGCAGTCCACCACCCCAGTGCCCTTCCACCCGTCGAAGAAGAAGAAATTCTTGTGCGGAGCGTCCCTCTGGGATAGCGCCTGGAACGAGAGGCACTGCTGTGATTAATCAACGTGTTTTGGAAAAACAAACAAATTAGTACACATCAATACCAGTGAGTAAGTCCTCAAGGTATCAATACTGGCTCTAAGGCATAGAAGAACAAAGCTAATAAACTGTGAAGTGAGAGACTATAATGACAGGCGGACCATATGCTTCCTGAAAGAGGAGCAGCAGCTTTGACATAGCGAGAAGGACACAACACTAAGCACAAAATGGAGCAAGCACAGACATATTGCACAAGCAGGTTGCGGACGCCTGGCCTTCTGCACCATGCAGAGCCTGACGCAGATGCTCACGGTGAAGGCCAGCGTGTCTTGTACAAGGGCAAGAGAGAAGCAGTGGGAAAATCAGACACTGCCTGCGAGGCGTGCCAGCAACGTCCCAGCAGAGCTCTCGGATCGGTGCAGCAGGGCTCGAGATTTCAACTGGTCTACAAATGTTTGCCCCTCTGTCGTGAGGAAATAAAAAACAGCACAGTTATGGGCTGCCACTGATGTCTTCAACGACCTTTTTAAGAGAGCTGTCACACGAAACGGGCTAGAAGGCTGGTATGGAAAAAAAAAAACTTTGTTGGGGGGGGGGGGGGGGGTTTGGCAAGCTGGGGGAGTGGCTGTGGAAGAAAATCTCAACATTAAAACAGAGATTCAAAGTTTCTTGCGTAATGCCCAAGAAGAAATAAGTCGCGCCACAGCAATTTCGCACTGTGCTGCAAGGCTGTGCGCTCTGGAATGAGTACCACCTTGACTTTCAGGTTTTCCCGGGCAGAGCGAGCACGAACGAACACCCGGTTTTCCACAGCTACAAGGCAGAGTTTCCTGCTTCTCTGTTGCTGCTGCTGGAGTGCCGAGTGGCAGATCCACACAGCCCCCTCTCACAGCTCTCCCCGCCCGCTCATTGCAGCCGATTTCATCATGCGCCAGCGGCAGGAGACAGTGTCAGTCTGGGATCAGCATCGGCTGCACCCACTACCACACACACACGCCGCCCCAGAAACGCAATCCTTCTCATCACCAGCGCTAATTACAAGAGAACGTTAAGCGCCAGTTCATTTGCAAGCACGGCGAGAAAGCATTGCCCCACCAGCGATGAACACTAAAATGTTTCTGCAGTGGCACTCCAAGAATATGATGACAGTTGACTCAGTGACTATTAACTTTGCTCGTCCACTGAAAGTTGCCTTGTAAATATAAACTGTGAGGGTCAGCAGAGCCACTATCAGCACCTAAGATACTGCAGACAACAGAGAGAGCAAGATTATAAAGAGAGCAGCTGCATGGAGTTAAGAGTATGTAAATCCTATTGCGACAAAATGAATCATTAAAGGCTCAAAACAGAGAAGACAGAAACCAATGGGCGTGATTCCTTTAAAAGGAGGCCTCAGATTTCTTAGTACAAGGAACCTTTGCCTGCCACAGGGATTCTTTTCTTGAAACCCCCCCCAGCAAATAAACAGAATATATAAATACCCAGCCTTAAGCACAGAAACAGAAAACAGAGGGCTTGGGTAAACTGTGGTTCACATGTCACTTGACGGCTGTAAATTCACAGTTGTTTATGTAACCAAAACTGTAGATGCCGTGCACCCTACTGATGTAAAATAAGTTCATAACATAATAATAGAACAGTCATCAAGACCAGCCCTCATCACAGTCTTGTTCTTCTTTCTGTCCTGGTGGTAGACTTGTAAACACAGCTAGGGGGGCCTTGCTCGAGGGCAAAGCTCTTGATCACTGAAAAACGGCAATTACACAGGGAACAACCCAACAGTCCACTCCGCCCTGCAGTTGCCATGACAGAGATCGGGTGGTGAGCAGGTAAGCGGTGATGGGAATGATGGGAATGATGGGAAGGCCATGGGGGAGCAAGAGGGATGTGAGTTATTCGGAATGACGTGTGCGGTGTCAGGGCTCAGCCCCGAGCAACGGCTGCACAAAAATCCATCCGGATTAATCAGCCGAAAGGCCTCCAGTCCTCTCAATGTATTTGTTTCAATGATTGCACACGTACCAATCTCTTACCCGTGCTTTCTTTTTTATCCTGTAACAATGCGTCACAGTGTCACAATGGGCGAACACGCACAACACAAACAGACAGTTCTACTCACCTGATTCCCAAATCCAGTGTCAGGGTCGCGAAGAACCGGCATCACGGGCAAACCAGGAGAAAAACAGGACACCATCAGCATGCACTCCATTGACGGACACACACAGACACAAAGCAGCTGTACGCAGAACAATGTTTCCAAATAGTGCATTACCACCACATGTGCAATCCTCTGGTGTTTGACTGTTACTGGTCAGTGCAAGGTGTGGTCTGCATGTTGGTGTTCTGTGCTCTCTCTTTTTCTCCATGTTGCTTTTTGCGATCACCTGTGTGTTAATGTTACCGAGCCTGTGCCATTCAGAGTCTGTGTAGTTGTCTTGTCTGGCGCTGGATTTGGGTCCGTACGAGACACAGTACAAGAGCTGTGTCAGAACAGCTGGAGTTTGCTTTTGAAGAGAGCTGTGCCATTGCACAATATTCGGAATAAAAGAAAGATGTAACTTTGGCAGCACCTTTCCAGACCTCCCTGCTGGGTCTCGTTTTGTTGGCGGTAAATATTCAGCTTGTTTGTTTTGTTCTTCTGTGATACAGGTGCTGCAAACAAACTCTCACGATTATTTTGCCACTAATCTCGGGAGTACAGCCTTTTGTTCACAGTCTGACCACACCATCGTGCATTTTCCACTTAAAACATAAACCGCACTCATGAGCTCAGATTGTCCCTCAACAGCCTTAATTTTCCCCACCCCATCACATAAAACATCAGATGTAAGCAAATTCCAAGTTTGCATAACTGAACTGTTGCCCTCAATGCTGCTCTCTGTGGGAGCCGTATGGATCCGTTTTTGCACACAGTTACATCAGAGAGAGCTGTGCACCGTGGCCTCTCGAGACCTGTTGGCTGCAGGCTGGCCAGTGAGTCTCTTCAGCAGAACTTCGTCAGTTAAAATCCCGCTCTCGGTTTTGAAGGAAAACCTTCACCAAGTCTCCTTAAGCAAATTCATTTTGGCACAAACACATTTTTGAAAGGTACGTTTCCGTCTATATAAGCAACTTGTCAAATGTCTAGCAGGGACTCCAGCAGGCTGCACAGTGCAGTGCTTTCATCAGCTTTTACTGGCACCACATTTGCAGGCTCTTGGTTTCACTGTAGCCGACAGAGTCAGTGTCCATGATGGATCCACTCCTGCTGTGACACACCTGGATGGTGCACACTTGAATGCAAATGAAGGTTTTCTTTTTCTGATAGCAGGATTACTGGCATAATCTCCTGGGTGCATGCGTGTGCCCTACGCTTTCCAATACATCAGGCTGTGCGGGTGTATTATACTCCATGCACAGAAACGTGGGTAATGAACACAGAAGAACTTCGGACGGATTAGAACCTCGAAATGCCGGGGGGAGGGCTGAGCCAGGTTAAGTTTCGAAGGCACTGACCAGCGTTTCTTGTGTTTTCTGTGACGCTTTATGCTTTATGTATCGCTATTCAATGTACTGCCTGTTTGGTTGTCACCTTGGGGTCTCAAGCCACATGTGTGAAACAACCCGCCTCCCTGTTTCAGCGACTCAAAAAAGGGTTTACATTAAAATGAGTAAAATGAAACTTGGACACGGCAGCAAAGAGGACACAGAGCAATGATAGAGACCTCACCTTGACAATCTCCTGTCCCAGCACGCCTCCCAGCACCGCACACACAGGAGACATCTCCGAGAAGCAGTAGCTGGGGAAAAACAAACAAACAACGATGACAATGCTGTTCCAATTCACCCCAAGATTTACTCTTTGACCATTAGGTGGGGAAGTAGGGGTAAATGGTCAACACTGTCAGATGAGACAGAGACAAGCTATAGTAACACAATGCTAGGTCAAAGGATTGCGCCCGTTCCTTCTGTAGGTTTCCAGGCACGAATCCTGTCTGTATCCCATAAAGTCTGGCTACTGTGCCCTGCAGAGCAGGATGCAGGAGCCCATCCTGAGGGCTGTTGTGTATATCGCCCCTTTAAGAACACAGAACCGCTGTTATAAAATAGAACCATTCTACTGTTTTAAGAATGGGAGGGAGTGCTTTACCCAAAGGGTTGTGGGAGTATAGAACAAGCTACCTAGCCACACTGTTAAAGTCAATACACTGGTTTCTTTAAAGAAACAGCTGAAAGAGATTCTTGGATCAATAAATTACTTGTGACCAAAAGTGCTAGATGGGTAGGATGGTCTGCCTTTGGTTCTAAATGTTTTTATGTTTCTATGCGTCTGCCAGAGCTTGTTCCAATTTGGAAGCGTTCGCTTACATTTTTTTTGTTTTCCAGACTGAGCTGGACTGGAGGTGCCAACACTTTTTCCATTTCTGTCGGCAGTGAATAGCACTGTACCCAGCACGCCGTCCTACCTGACAAACTCGTCCGGGACCAGCTCGGTACCCAGCCCCAGGGAATCCAGGACATCGTCACGGATCTGGAGCAGGAGCTGGGAGTCGTCGGCGAAGCTCTCGGGGTGGGGGTCACGACCCTTGTCCGTGCGGAACTTCAGGAGTACTGTGCACCAGATGGAGACAGACGACTCATGGGAATGCTCAGTCTACTCTGACTAACTCATCCCTGTATCTCCAGCATTACAACAACGAATATGCATCACTAGAGCTCTCCTTTTGAAAGTGATGAAACTATGATTTCAGAAGTTTTATACAACAGCATTGTCAGCAGAAACTGTTGGGTGTTACTGATTGTGCATGAAAACTGGTTTAATAGTAAAAAGTCACCAAAATATTTCAGTGATTTATTTAAAATCTACGCAATGAATACTGGCAGTTTTGAATGCTGTTTGATTTGATGTTTGACTCAGTTGCATTTCTACCTGCTTTAAACCATCACACAGTTCTGTGACACCGATATTGCACATGCTCATTTGAATACAGCAGGCCTGTGCTTTCCCAGGCTCAGCAGGCTGACGTTATCCTCACAGTGAGCTTGGAACGGCATGAAAGTGAGGCACGCGCCGCCGCGTTTCTGATGTGTGAAACGGGCTGCAGACGACGAGAACAGCGCGCAGGAATGAAAAAACAAAAGTCAACGAGTCGAGGTTGAGATTCGGGCTCTGCCAGTTCCTCAATCCCCTCTCTGCGCTGGAACAGGATGATCTTGATTCGTGATAAAGCACTCTGGGTGCTGCTGCGCAATGCTTGGCGTGCAGACAACAACAACAACAACAAAAACAACAACAGGCTCCTTGGTCACCCCCCTCCTGGAGCCTGTGTCTCGACACCTTCCTCTGCCTTCCTGACCATCTCTCTGACAACCAGCTCTGCCCAAGCTCATTCTCCACCTCTGACCAGCCTGTCTTGCAAATATCAACATCCTGATGTCGTAAGAGTCTATCTACCTAGCCTTAGACATCAACAACGCAGTACAAAGCGCCTTTAGACCGAAAATATAAATAGAGCTGAAGTGCCGTGCCGGGTCAGCAGAGGAAAGGTTAAAGGTTAAAGCAGGCCCTTATGCAACACACCCATGGAAACACGACGCACCACGACTCGAGGCAGGCCTGGGAGAACACGGCGGGAACGACTTGTGCAACACTTCCTGTGCAAAAAATCCAACTTTGCTACCACAAGCAATAAAAAACCCCCCAAAACATCCTCTTTTGACTGTGAGTTTCACTCTGAACTCATCACGGGCGAGTGTTGATCTTTCCCAGTCGTAACTGTGCACAACCTAAAGAAATACTTTAGCCCCAGCCTACGAGAGGACTGCTTGGTGAAGAGAGGGAAGATGCTTTTTTCTGAGATAGTAAGTCAGAAAGTTTGCAAATACACTGTATTTACATAAAACTTACAACAGGGCGCTATAACCCCTGTTGGCTGCCTCCTGAGCTGCCGTCACCATGGGAAAAACTGGAGAACTAACTTTAATGTGCCCCTTAATTGAGAGAAAGATCTTGTCTGCATGCGCACATCCATCTGATACTTAGTGATGGAGCAGCGGAGAATCCCAAGGTCTTGCAGACACCTGCTGACGTACAATCAGGATGGGTGAGCTCGAGTCAGGGTACCCTCAGCTTGGCTTGCAGTTTGCAAGTCGTTTGCAGTCGGCGAGAGATGCATCACTCCTCTAACCTGCGCTGACTCTCTCGTGGAGCTCACTGCACGTCTGATGCCCAGCGGCTAAGATGTCTGAGTCCAGTCCTTGCACCCACCTTGGCGCAGAGATATTAGAAGCGAAGCCAGACGATTAGCAGCTGTCGAGTCCAAAGTAGTCAAGCGCAGAAAAAAAAAGAAAACCTAAATAGTAAGCATTAACCTTATCTTGATCTTAAACAAATGAATCTAAATTGCGTAGTATATTTGCATTGTTTGCATTGTGTCCACCGCATCCTGTTATGTAAACTGTTGTATTTGTTATTGAACTCTGCAACTTCTAATAATTGCATTTCTTCCTAAGGCTGGTCTGTGCAGTACGCCCTTCGCCGTGGTGTATAACCTTGTGGGAACAAACAGGGCTTTGGCTCTGCCATGGAAAGAACACTTAAGATACTGTGCAGGGCAGGAAGACAGGACAGGAGAGAATCCATGTGAAGCAGGAAGCTGAAGCAACCACTACCAAACGGATGTGGCTCAGAGCTCCAACAGTTATCTTTCCCCTTCGTTATCTTTCTGAAGAGCTACACGAAATAGTTTAGACAGTTAAATGGAGAGCCGCATCCTGGAATGTAACCCTACCCCCGAGTCTGTGCCAAGCGCCTGGTGTGCCAATCTCTGAATCCCCCGCGCTCCACCCACACAACAAGCCTTAATTACTAACCCCCCCCTTCCAGTCACTTCCTGCCACCGGCTGTCCGTAAACTGCACAACTCCGCATGGCTGAGCCCGCCTACTCCTGTTTCCACCAGACAGGGAGCAGACGCCCTGCTTGCCATCACTCACTATACCAGCCTGGAACACGACTGAGACACACTTCCTGCTGACTATCACTGCACTATTCCAGCGTGATACACCCACCTCC